CAGTCACCCTCGGAACAGTTGCACTGCGCCGCCCACCAAGGGGGGGCTGCTGTGGCACATCTGAACACTTGAGGTGCAGGCCAGGTGCTGACAGCTGCACGATACACTGCATTGTAAGGGTCTGATGGTTTGCTGTGCAGCTTTGCACGCACTGAAATAACCGCATCTGCAGAACCAGGATCACAGGAAGGAAGGCCTTTCCTGATTCTTTTTACTCAGAGCATTGATCATGTATTTTTAAATTATAGTTTGATAATATGAATATTAAGAAAATGACAGATTGCAAAGCAACCTCTCTGGGGGGGAGGAGTTATACAATTTGACAGACTGTTGCATATTTCAGGTATTATTTCTACATGTAACAAATATTTTAGCTATTTTTAACCTATAGGAGAAGTGCAATGCTACTGACAAATTATCCAAAGAAACCAAATGGTGTTATAATTTTTATAAGATTATAAAAAATCATCCTTGGTAGAATAGATAGGCTGATCTCTTAATTGGATATTGCGTATTTTTATCATTTTTATTAATGAAATATAATTATAACAAAACAATCTACCGTAGTTCATAGCAAGAATAGAATGCTGGGGTCTATTTTAAGCAAAATCTATCAGTCAAATAAGAAAGAACTGTAATAAAGAATCCTAACTCCTCTAGAAAAACCAGAGGTCTAAATAAAACCTGCAAACGAATTCTGCTTCCTGTTTCTTTGGTCCACTTTTTTCTCTCCACTTTTTATTTAACCCCTGTGCCACTTTGTTGCAGCACACCATTAGGTGCCACTAACACTCGGTGGCACAAGCTGACATTAAGTGAGGTGTGCCAGGCATGGGCTCTGCTGCCAGGAGCAGGTATTTGAGGCCACTCATCCCAAGAGATGAGTTCCCCTCTCACTTCTATTCCTCTATTACAATACAAAGAGACATATCGAGGTCGGATTTTTTTTCCTCTGTGTAATGTCTTAGCTTCGCTGGCAATTGATTTAATGGCTAAAGTTAATGCACACAGTTAGGCTTCATTTTTGTCATCTTTCTGTGCCTGTCATCCTCGGGGTTAAGCACTGTTAGTGATCTTAAGAATACTCTGTTCCATGAAAACTAGGGATCCTCTTACTGTGAAGTTCACACAAAACATTTTTTAGCTGGTCTGCGCTGTAACAAAAGCCTAAAAGGTGGGGGACCTTACCTCCGCGGGCACCTGACCGGATGCCAAGCTGAGAAAGCCCCTAAGGCTCACCAGACCGCCGCTTCCTGACTGAACTTCCCTTCCCCAGGAGGCGAGAACTGGGACTCTGTGAACAGGGCAGGGGAGAGGACACAGGCAGAGTGTGGATCTGAAGTCGGGTTTTTACTGTGCCTTTCCACTTGGCCACGTCTCTACTTTCTCACCTTTTAGTTGACAACTTAAAGATTAGTTCGGCTCTGTTCCTCCCACCTAGGTGGAGAGACGTGCATTTAGGCAGGCGTATGGAGCCCGGAGCTGAGCTATGGAATCACCACATAAATTGGGATGAGGGCTCTGCTGAGACCTTCCAGCCAGCCTTTCTGAGAAATATCCTGATCGTGTTTGATCAGGAACTATATACACTTGTGCCTTCAAATTTACTTATAGCCCCAACCAAAATGAAAACGTATTTCTATTCATCAATATCAAACAAATTAACACTTGTTCCCTGCTTTAGACCAGGAGTCCAGAAGCCCTGAACTATGGAGATCTCCAATTGGTCTTGAACCATCTAATGTACTCTAAGACCCAGAAACAGTTGCAAGCTGAGCATCAAGCAGCACCAGCACACGGGCCTTTCATGAAATGAATCAGTATTAGGATATGCTCTAGGATGAATATTGTGTGTTTAAAAAAATCTATAAACTTTATGTTCATAAAAATAGTAAAACTTTTCTTAGTATTTGTTCAGTGGACTTTTAAACAGTGTCTCAAGATCACTTTAAACTTATAGATTAAAGATCCTAAAAAAGTACGGATTTGGGTGACCGGGGAGAGAGCTCAGTGGAATAAGTGCTTCCCTGGTAAGTGCAAGGACCTGAGTTCAATCCCCGGTTCTGGGAAAAAAAAAAAGTCTGGATTTAAGTGAATTGTATCTATCATTTGCTGTGTTAGCAACCAAAACTGAGAAACTTTAGGGGAGGCTGAGACAGGAGGATCACTACAAGTCTGAGTTGTATAGCAAGACCCTGTATCAAATAAAATAAAATAAAAATTTATTAACCAATAACCCATTACAGACATTACCCCCAAATAACATATTTTTATATAAAATAAAATATTTTCCAAAACAAAAAAAAAATTGTAGTGGGGAGAGTGGTGGCAGCTGACAAATTTGCCAATCTCTGAATGCAGCATGCTTGGAGCCTGCTGTTTCTGTGTTTTAGTCTGTCATACATGTTGCTTTGGTTGAAGCATATGATGAAAATCCTGAGCTGGATATGTACTTGGAACAGAGAAGAGCATTGTGTAGCCTCTGCAGGTGGCTGTGTGT